GCCCGACCTTTCCGCGCGCGCGCCCATCAACCCAGCGCTACGCACGTCCTGCCCACCTACGCCACGCATGCCAGCCGCGCACACCGCCCGCACATCCGCGTGCAGCTTATCTTCGCCCGTCTCGCGCGCACTACGCTCTAGTGCACGCACTTTTGCCGTCGCCCGTGCCTGCCTCTTGCGCGCATGGTAAGCTCGACTTGCGGCGTTCTTGAGCTGCCTAGCCACTTCCGCATCATTCCCATCCCCTTCAAGTGATTCCTTGTCCTCAAGGATGAAGTTCGGGAACTGATCGCGCATCTCTTCAAGATCTTCCCACGTGGCTTCTTCAGATGGCAATTCTTCCCAGTCAACTAGTACTTCCCAACGATAGCGCCCTGCTCTCTTTACCTTACGGTACTCAATCGCTCGTTTTGGTCGTACTATGACCCTACCATCGGTTGCGGTTGCAGGTAACTCCTCACAATACTTCTGCGCTTCTCCCAAACTTCTCTTGAGTTGCGAGACATGGATAACTGGGTGAATTTGCGAACTTTCGGGTAACTCTAGGTGATATGCTACCTGACCAATGCGCTTCAGAATCTGATAAGGCCCGTAATAGCGAACGCCTAATTTAGTGGCGGCTATTTGTGCTGTTGTGCGCTGTCTGAATGGTCGTAGCTTTAGGTAGACATATTCACCTGGTGCAAAATTTTTCTCACGCCTTTTCCCATCTGCGAAGGCTTTGGTTCGGTTAATTGAGCCTTCGAGATTTTTCTTCAGCTCACGTAACATTAAATCTCGTTCCTCTAGTTCTCGACCAACCTCATCGTTGACCGTACTCCCCTCCGAATAATTGATCAGCGTTGGGGGTTTTCGCCTGTATACCAACTCAAATGGCGTCATCTTGGTCGACTCGTGGTAAGTGGTGTTGTACCAATACTCAGCCCAGGGTAAAAAGTTTTCCCACCGCTTTGGGAATTGATGGACGTAGCACCTCAAATACTGCTCAAGGGTTCGGTTGGTTACCTTAGTTTGTCCGTCTGTCTGTGGGTGGTAGGCTGAGCTCATAGATAATTTAGTCCCTTGCAACTTGAAGAATTCAGACCAAATGCTGCTCATAAAAATCAAAATCCGGTCTCGATCAGAGACGATGGATCGTGGTGCTCCATGCAGTTTCATTACA